CCGTAATTCCATAATAGTGTCTTGCGAAGTGACCTGGTTCATAGGGATAACCTCCGGCCATTTTGAGTAAGCATCGACACAAATGAGGAAATATGTACCCTGAAATGAGCCAGCAAAATTAATTTGTACACACGACCAAGGTTTCTTTGGAGATATCTTCGGCATTTGAAAAGGAACAGAAGACTTTGGTGTGGACATAACATTGGCACAAATTACATGAGGTTCTGAAGTTTTACGCGAGCATACTTTGTCTGAGGTATTTGATTTGGAATCATTGTGAGGACATGTTACATCGGAGGAATTCGATTTAACATCATCAAGAGAACACATTACATTAGAAGCATTTGATTCAGAAAGATTATGAGAACATGTTTCATCAGAAGCATTTAATTCATGAATATCAAGAGAACATGATACATCGGAGGCATTTGATTTAGAAATATCATCAGGAATTTTGATAGACTCAAAGGAAGCATTTTGAGAACATACCTCATTTAATAATTTATTCAAGGTATCAACCTTCTCAATCCAGTCTAATCCTAATAGATCTAAATCGTGCCGATTTGTAAGATAACAGACATCGGTGAACTTATGTCCCATGAATTTAACGTTGCATGTGACTTCTCCTGTCAACTTCACTATATCTCCTGAAGCATTGCGAGCAACATGTTCTGTTGGTCGGATGCGTGGACATCCCAGCTTACGCCATGTGTTTTTGGAAATCAGTGTAACATCAGAAGCAGTGTCCAATTGAAGACGTATGGGTTTTTCATTTACTAATAAGTTTACATACTTCCGCTTACTTTGAAAACCAACTTTGAAGGCTGCGAACGTGCTTTTGATTTGACTCTGCGGTGGTTGCTTCGCATTTCCACTACGACATTTAGACTTACGTTTATTTGATGAGCAATGATCTTCTTTATGACCAATGCGATGACATTTGCGGCATTTGTGATTCTTGAACGGACATAGTTTAGCAAAATGCCATGCTCCGCAGAACCAACATGGTGATGGGGGTTTGACAGAAGGTAGTTGTGTGGTTGTAGTGTTCTGTTTGGACAATTTCGAGGATCTGAGAGCATTAATTGAACCAAAATCGGAAGGTTTAACCTTCTGTTGCACCATCGCGGTATCATGCTTGAGATTTACCAACCTCTGACACTCGGTTGTGACCATTTGTAGTGTCATATTCGGTTCCTGTTCAATGCGTGCTAACATCCTGGTACGGACATCTGCATCTTCTGCATTCTTTAAACCACATATAAAAATCAAGCATTTGAATTGGTCAGCTGAAATCTCGTTTATTTTGAACAGTTCGCATTCTCGATTTACTTTACCAGCAAATGTGAGATAATCATCATCTGGGGATTTCGATATTTGGAAACATCGATAGCGAGTATTAAATAATGAAGATTGTTCGCCGAAAATGTCAGATAAAATTTGGACTGTCTCTTTGAAAGATACATCTCGTGGATTTCGTGGCAGGATGAAATTCACATATTTGTTGTATTCACGTGTCCCGAGTCTTCTCAGGAGTAGGCGAACTTTAGCTGCGTCATCAAGATTTGAGCATTCCACACGGAATATGTCTTCGCAACGGTGAAACCAGGAATTGAAAATGATACCAGATTCAGGATCATAATGGAATTCACAAATAGAATTCGTGATGCATTCATACTTATCTTACTGATAAGTTGTGGATGAATGTAATGACAGCTTCTGCATCAGTGCATCTAAAAGCTTCATTTGATTTGCATCATTTTGCGCTTGCTGAATTTGTAGAATAGTTTTAAGGTCGTCCAAGGATACAGACATTTTGTTTTGGATCAATCAATATAAAAAAAATCTCCGTCGCCACTTTGTTATGACCTTGATTTGTCTACCCACTTTTTGGTGCCGAGGATACTTGTCTAATCTAGATTTCGACCTTGATGCGATAGGCTGATCAGCTTAACCTTGAGACTAGTACGCGTGAGTTCTAGATGGGGTAGAGAGAAGAAAACTATTCTGTCACCTGATTGGTGGGCAAGCACACGAATGAGAGAAGACAAGACAACTGGAACACTACTCGATCTATTTCCCTGACCACTGAACTCACTGGATTTACTGAATTCACTGAATTCAGATTAGTGTAAAAAGGTACATGAATAAATAAGTGAATAACCCGACCGCAACGTACAATAATTAGGAAAAATACAATTATGTCCAAAGCTGGGAATTAGAGTAGAAAATAGGGTGCAAAATAATATGTTTAAATTACAATAGCTTCGGAACAGAAAAAGGTATGGCAGTGAATGATACATCGAACGAAAGCTTATGTTCTGTAGAATAGATTAGGGACAAAAATAAATGTCAGTATTTTACAAGCTTTGAATAAAATGAAATAACGTTCCGAAAAATAGCCTTCGTAGTTTGTCAGGGTTTCTTGTTTCCCGGTTCACATCAACAACCTTGGGAATACAGTTAGTTATGGCAGCTGAGCAATATATTGAAAACTCGGAGATTCCACACTGAGTTCATTCACAGAATTATAATCAATACGGACAGGTCTAACCTCCTAGAATGAGCATTTTGAAAAGTCTTAGCTCTCATCAAAGATTCGGTATATTAATTTCAGCGACTAAACGATCACAGAATTGAATATAAAGCCGATCTCTAAAGCAATATTTGCTAGTGATTTTTGGAGTTCAAGAATGAAATCACAAACCTAGGTCGTTTCGTGGAGATTTACTCATTTTCACTCTCCACTCACTGTTGCTGCTTTTTACACGATTGAGTAATGGTTATTCAAGATGTTCACGCATTAATGAAATAGGTTTTGTTGTGTGGGCGAGAACGATCGTGATTGGTTGTCTGCTTAGTAAGACATGTAGACAGTCTGACAGGTGTCAGATAAGTTATATATTCTCTTACCCTTATCATTGTGACTCACTCATTCTTATTTACATTATTATTGATTGTTCATTGTTGTGGATTGTGTCGGGTTTTTGGGTGTGAAATATATTACGTTCCGGTCAGTCTGATCTCGTGTTCTTGATCTGAGTTTTGTTGAAGTCCTGTAGGATAGACACTGGGAGGGATCTAGTGTAGATAATCGTTTAAGCGTTACAACATCAGACGAGGTAATACCGAGCGTTATAACAACCAACGACGGAACGTTATAACAATTGGCGAAGGGTTAAAAAACAAAGAACCTAAAGTACAAACCACAAGTTATATCAATTGCCCACGGTGTTTAAAACGGATCTACGTCTACATATTCAGTTAAAGTGGATTTTATAATAAAATGGATGATCTGAAAATCTTATTGCAACAGCAAAATTCTCTTATCGAATTATTGGTGAAAAATATGTCAATATCCTCAAGAACCAATGTATCTAATCCCACTATGACTCCGGATTCTATTGCGAACTCAATAGATGAATTTAGATTTGATCCAGAATGTGGAATTACTTTTGAAGCATGGTTTAAACGCCATGAGGATTTATTTATTAATGATTGCAAAGAGTGGGATGAAGGCTCAAAATTGAGATTATTATTACGTAAGCTCGGAGTGTCGGAACACGAAAAGTTCTGTAATTTTATCCTTCCAAAAAAGCAAACCGACACAACCTTCACAGAAACAGTTGAGTGCCTGACACGCATATTTGGTGAACGATCTTCAGTATTTCACACTAGATTCCAGTGTCTTCAGCTTGTAAAAAAACCTCAGGACGATTACATGACATACGCAAGCATTGTGAACCGGGAATGTGAACGGTTCCGTTTACAAGAAATGTCATCAGATCAATTCAAATGCCTTATTTTCGTATGTGGGTTACAATCTGCCGCAGATGCAGATATTAGAACACGTATTTTAACGCGAATTGAACAAGATCCTAATATTAGTCTGCAATTAGTATCTGAAGAATGCCAAAGAATGGTTAATCTGAAGCATGACACCAATCTAGTAGAAAAGAACAAGGAACATGTGGAAGTTAAAACCTTGCAGAAAGCTTTTAACGGAAACAAGGATCAGTACTCTTACCAAAGTCCAAAGCAAACGAAACCCAAAATGTGTTGTTGGCAGTGTGGTAAGCGTCATTCTCATAATGTTTGTTATTTTAAAAAAAGAGTTTGTTTTCGATGTGGTAGATACGGTCATGCTCAAGTATGTTGTAAAAGGAAACAAAAGATTGTCGATCATCAGCGTAAGGCTCGTAAAGGAAATAAGACGCAGACACCGAAAGAAATCCCACATAATTCGAGTGTCATTCTGACCACAAAAAGCGCTCATTTTTCATCTAAAAGGAAATATGTAACTCTATTTTTCTATGGTAAACCTATTAAGCTGCAACTTGATACGGGGTCAGGCATAACATTAATTTCTAGGAAGACGTGGATAAATCTTGGTCGACCTCGATATCATCCTACATTTTACAACGCTAAGAGTGCAACAGGAACAAATATTACTCTTCTTGGTGAAATGCAGCTACCTCTCACATTAGGTGACAAGACTATGACTGGGAAATGTTATGTGTCTGGGAATTGTCATACCAATTTACTAGGTATTGACTGGATAGATAAACTTGGTTTATGGGATTTGCCGTTGAGCACTGTTTGCAATATGATTAATTCACCAGTACCTAAATCGCTGTCAAGTGACTTTAGTCGGTTATGTGTAAAAGAATTGCGTGATAAGTTTTCAGACATCTTTGAGGATAAAATGGGACTATGTGTAAAAGTAAAGGCTCGTATATATGTTCAGCAGGAAGCGAAACCTGTGTTCCTTCCAAGGAGACCGGTACCTTATTCGATTACTGATGCCTTGGATGCAGAACTTGACAGACTGCAGAACTCTGGGGTTATTTCTCCTGTAAATTATTCTGCATGGGCAACACCATTAGTGGTTGTAAGGAAATCTGATGGTAAAATACGTGTATGTGGAGACTTCTCCACTGGACTAAACAAAGCACTACAGGACCATTTATACCCCTTACCCATCCCAGAGGATTTGTTTACTAAATTGAATGGGTTCCCCATATTTTCGAAGATTGATTTTTCAGACGCATATCTCCAAGTGGAGGTCGAAGACGACTGTAGATTTTTGCTGACAGTAAACACACATCGAGGATTGTTCCAATATAATAGACTGCCTTTTGGTATAAAATGTGCCCCGGCAATTTTCCAGCAAGTCATGGACACTATGTTAAACGATATTCCGTTTGCCATGGCATATATGGATGATATTATTATTGCTAGTAGAAGTGAAAAAGAACACTATGATCATTTACTAGAAGTCTTCGCTCGTATTAGAGAGTATGGTTTTCGTATAAAAGTAGAAAAGTGTTCATTTTTTATGTTAAGTATTCGATATTTGGGAACAATTATCGATTCTCAGGGACGTAGACCTGATCCTGAAAAAGTACATGCCATTGTGAATATGCCAGCTCCATCTAATGTTAAAATGCTTCAGTCATTTTTGGGAATGATTAACTATTATAGCCATTTTGTGCCAAATATGCATACCCTGCGTGCTCCAATGAATGCACTATTAACTAAGAATACCAAATGGAACTGGAATAAGGAATGTCAAGTGTCCTTCGAAAAAGTGAAACAGATCTTGGCTTCTGATTTATTGCTTACTCATTATGACCCAAAACTTGAGTTAGTAGTAGCGGCAGACGCATCTGATTATGGCATTGGAGCGGTGATTCTTCATAAATTTCCTAATGGGTCACAAAAAGCTATTTTTCATGCTTCACGCACTCTTACTGTGGCTGAAAAAAATTACAGTCAAATCGAGAAGGAGGCTTTAGCCCTAGTGTTTGCGGTCAGGAAGTTCCACAAGATGTTATACGGTAGGAAATTTACATTGCAAACTGATCATAGACCATTGCTGGCTATATTTGGCTCTAAGAAAGGAATACCCATCCACGCTGCAAATCGGCTGACTAGGTGGGCTACTATGTTGCTTGGATACGACTTCGAATTACTGTACAAGCCGTCAGCTTGTATGGGTCATGCAGATGGGTTGTCAAGGTTAATTGCTAATAACCGTAAGTTAGAGGAAGATAGCGTGGTTGCTTCTATATCAATTGAACCGGAAATAAAACGAGTGTTCTGTGATGCTATTAGAATCCTACCAGTAACGGCGGAAGCGGTTAAAGAAGCTACGGCTAGTGATCCTCTACTTAAAAGAATAAAAGGAGCTGTTTTAAATGGTTGGAAAGAGGATAAGGCTGATCGAGAATTCCACCAATTTTTTCTGAGACGTGAGTCTATATCGATTTATGATAATTGTTTAATGTTTGGCGATCGTGTTGTTATCCCTAAATCTCTTCAGTTTTTTGTGCTTAGACAGTTTCACATTGGTCATCCGGGAATGAACAGAATGAAAGCAATTATGCGTAGTTATGTCTATTGGCCATTCATGGATAAGGCTGTGGAAGAACACGTATTGAGATGTCGTCGATGTGCCGAAGGTGCAAAAGATCCACCGAAAGTAGAATCCCAGCCATGGCCAGAAACGAAAACGCCTTGGGTTCGACTACACGTCGATTATGCTGGACCAATATATGGACACTATTTTCTGGTGGTGGTAGATTCATACTCAAAATGGCCTGAAATTTATGTTGTGCGAAGACCTTCTACGTCTGAAACACTGTTACATCTCAGACAACTATTTGGTAGGTTTGGGACACCTAATGTTTTGGTTTCAGATAACGGGACGCAGTTCACGTCGTCACAGTTTGCGGAGTTCTGTAAACAAAATGGAATCGAACACATTAGAACTCCACCGTATCACCCTCAGTCAAACGGACAAGCAGAAAAGTTTGTTGATATTTTGAAGCGAGCTCTCTTAAAGATGGGAAGAGAAGATAATGTAGAAGAGGCTCTGCAACAGTTTCTAATTTCTTATAGAATCACACCGAGTTCAAATTGTCAAGACGGGAAATCACCAGCCGAAATAATGTTTGGCCGACCAATTAGAACATTGTTGAATGTTTTGAATCCGAAAGACAAAGTGTATGGACTACAAAAAAATAAGGAAGGGAATTATCCGAAGATTCGAGAGTTTAAAGTAGGTGACTTAGTTTATGCACGTGACTTCCGGCCTGGAAAGCCGAGATGGATATTTGGATGTATTAAAAAAAGACGTGGGACAGTATTGTATGAGGTTATGGTTGAAAATACACTAATTATCAGACATATCAATCAACTGAGAGACAGAAGAAATGTTTATGAGTCACCTAAAGTCAAATCTTTACCAATCGAAGTATTATGTGATACTTTTAATATCCCACCACCACCACCACCACAAGTTGAAATGGAAAAAAATGAACTGAAATCAGATGCCAGTCGAAAATCATCACGTGAACGAAAACAAACGAGATTTTTTCAAATAGACCCGAAAGCGAAGTCATACGATCAAACTTCGTGAGGGAGGTGTTGTGTGGGCGAGAACGATCGTGATTGGTTGTCTGCTTAGTCAGACATGTAGACAGTCTGACAGGTGTCAGATAAGTTATATATTCTCTTACCCTTATCATTGTGACTCACTCATTCTTATTTACATTATTATTGATTGTTCATTGTTGTGGATTGTGTCGGGTTTTTGGGTGTGAAATATATTACGTTCCGGTCAGTCTGATCTCGTGTTCTTGATCTGAGTTTTGTTGAAGTCCTGTAGGATAGACACTGGGAGGGATCTAGTGTAGATAATCGTTTAAGCGTTACAACATCAGACGAGGTAATACCGAGCGTTATAACAACCAACGACGGAACGTTATAACAGGTTTCTTTTGGAAAGTCAGGTTTTTTCAAAGATTATATGGACCTTTAGAGATGAGTGCAAGGAAATTGACTTAAATTTTATCTCCTTTGAGATCTCTTCTAGGAAAGTATCAAATTTAAATGCGACTCCTAGTTTTCAAATGCTTCTCTTGAATTAAAGTACAGCTGTCAAATAACAGGTTCCATCGAAACTCCAAATATAATACGTAACTCATGTCCCATCCACTTCACAGATGTTTGAAACATCGTTGACTGATTTGTCATTTTTAGCCGGTAAGTCTCATCCAAAGCCAAAACTGAGAATTCAGCTCCTTTACCATACACAAGCAGTACTTTGAAAACACTTGCAACTTATACATTTAATTCTGCTTACAAAGACTATTTTAGAGTCACTAAGTAATGTATAGAAGACTGTTTAGTTTACTAGTCTTTGATAAGCTAGAGTTGGTATACATTAGTAACAGACGGAAGTTTATTCGCTCGCATAGGAACCTCGTCGGTCCACCATAGTTAATGAATCTCACATGTAAGTAAAGTGGTCAATGAACTTGACTACTTTCTTTCATATGATCGTACTACGCAATGACTTGGACGGTACGTTAATGACATCATAATCATAGGTGATAAAGGTGAAGATTTCGACTGCGTGTTAAAATAACTTAACACAAGTCTAGAGCACCTCTCTCTTACATGCGAAGAAGAGAAGAACAACCAACTTCCTTTTCTAGACATACTGATTAATAGGAGAGATGATGGTTCCATCCAACCTTCTATATATAGAAAGCCAATATCTTAATTTCCAGTCACTGCTCAATTCATTACAAACGTGGATTAATAAAGGGCTTATTCAGTAGAATCTATCGTATTTGTACTAGCGATACTATCGAAGTAGAGACGAAGCTCTTGACTGATACGTTAATGAATAATGGTTATTCATTGAAGTTCATAAACCGCTGGAAGGGTTGCAATACGATTAGACCTATGACGCCTCTGGCACCCAAGAAGCTAGTTTGCATTATGTTACCATCTAAAGGCAACACAAATAGTCTCATGTTGAAACGGAGACTTAAATTAACCATCAACCGAACATGTTATGTAGCCCAACTTGTCATTATTGAAAAGATAAAGTCTGTTTCACCAAAAGCTCAAACAGCACGTAAGCGATTGTGTCACATCCCATTGTGTCTATCAATTTACATGTATGTGCGGAAGCACGTACATAGGGAGGAGCAATCGTGATTTGCAATTAAGGGTGGGTGAACACACACCGAAATAGCTGCAGAAACAAATGAATTCCAATGGTCAAATAAGATCACAAGATTGACAGATATCATCCTCCATTGAGAAACTTTTGATTGAGACTGATCATAAGGTTGAAACCAAGCCAGCATTTGTAGTGTTATGCGAAAACCTCCAAGGACATATACTAAGGCTTATTGAAGCCTCGGCTATACGGAAACTGAAAGCCCCTTCATGCGTTCACAAACAATTTTTCCTTACCCTTAACCCACCCTGGTAATACTGATTTATTATCCAGAGTGCTAATCACATTGATTTTGTGTAATTTATTATTTTTTTCAGAGGGGGTTTTGTGGAGATTTTTAGAAATTTCAACTAGTATTATTTTTTCCTTTGTTACGGTTTACCTTTGTTCTGTCGTCTAGTTAACCTTTTAATTTTCATATAAAAATGTCTTAACAAGTATGTGTGATCAGGTCGTTCGAAATGTATTGCGCAAATATATCACATAATCCTGATAAATTTCTTCTTCTCATTGCTTTATCGTAGTTGACTTAGTTACTCTAAAGCACCTGATCAACGTTAGGAGTAATTAGAAACCACTCAATTCTTGGTGTATTTCACCATAACTTATAATTTTATTCACGTTATTGCCTTTGTATTTTATTCTACGAAATGTGAAAAACAAATGGATTCACCGTTTTAAACTTAGTCAGCTAGTCCACCAATACCGTGAGCTTAATGTATGTGTTTAAAAAAGACTTAAATAGTAATATCAACGAGAATGCAATTAATGTTTGCGATTGTAGAAAAAAAGGTTTCAAGTAGCTGCTAGCAAATCTGGTTAGGTCAAAAATGGAAGTGTACTTCAGAATCCAATTCATATTAACTTTTGAGATGGTGGAGAAGATTTGTAGCTCAGGTGGATGATTTTGATGGAGTTTTGTTCTCTGAGCTGGATGGTTTGGTCGTGGAGCTTTCATCGTTCTTCTGAACGACATCATCAGCACAAACTTCAGATAGAAGTGAAGTGTTCGAATTTCTCCATATGTGTTTCACAGCTTGTTCTGTGCACCTCGATGTTGATTGGTTCTTATTGACCTTAAATTTGTCATTGTTTACTTTTTTGTTTTTATTTTGTCCCCTATTGGTTTGATTCTTGTTCCTATATTCGTGCATAAGTTTCCTGATTGGTTGATAAATCGGATCAATTTCAATATGTTTGTTGATTGCTGATTGACCTGAGTGCCAAGCTTCTAAGAATTCTCTTGTGTTTTTAGAGTTTCCTCTGTCCAAGATTTCCACATTTTTCCAATCGAATGTGTGTCCACAGTTGTCTACGTGTATTGATATAAGTGAGGAGATATCATGCCGTTTGACTGCTAATTGATGTTCATGTAGGCGCAGGTGAAGGGGGCGTCCGCTTTGTCCGATGTAGTGTTTGTCGCAGTTGACACAATTTATTTTGTAGATGATGTTTGATTTATCTTCTTTTGTTATTTTATCCTTTGGTTTGCATAGAATTGACTGTAGTGATTTTGTCGGTTTGTGTGCCACACCTATTCCGAAGGTTTTTAGCAGTCTTGTTGCGGTCTCTGATATGCCATTTATGTATGGTAGTGTGATCCGTTTGTCAATTTCTGTGCTTGATTTGTGTTCTGATGCTGCATGTGGTTGGTATTTTTTGATGAAGTTGATTGGGTAGCCATTCTTTTGAAATACGTCCTTCAGGTATTTCTCTTCCTTTCTTCGTGCTGCCAGTGTGCTGCAGTGTGTCCTCGCCCTCTTGAACAAAGTTTGTACGCAGTTGATTTTATGTGCTCTTGGGTTGTTGCTATTGTAATTAAGAATTTGATCTGTGTGGGTCGGTTTCCTATATACTTGAGTTTCTAGTTTTCCTGTATTAGTTCTAGTGATTAATATATCCAAGAATGGTAGTTTGTTGTTTGTCTCCTGTTCCATTGTGAACTTGATGCCATCGAAGACGTTGTTGATCAGTTTGTAAGTGTTTTCTAGCTCATTCTTTTTGACGATGACGAATGTGTCGTCTACATAGCGAATCCAGATTTTTGGTTTGATCACAGGTAGTATTGCGGCTTCTAGTCTTTGCATCACTGCTTCTACGATCACTCCTGATATTGGTGACCCCATTGGTGTCCCTTTCGTTTGTTCGTAGATTTTGTTGTTGAATTGAAAATACGTCGTTAGGCATAAATCGATGAGTTCTAGTAGACTTTTACTTTGAAGCTTTGTGTACTTTGTGAGATTCGTGTCGTTGGCGAGGAGAAGGGAAATAGTTTCTTTCGCTAACTTTGGTTCAATTGAGGTGAATAATGTTGTTACATCAAAGGATATCATCAGTTCGTCGTGGTTGATTTGAATGTCCTTAATTTGGCGCAGGAATTGTGTAGGAGATTTGATAGAGTGGTTGGATGAATCGACTAAATGTTTCAGTATTCGTGAAATTTCTTTTGATAAATTGTATGTTGGCGTTCCGGGCAGTGCTACAATTGGACGTAGTGGAATGTTTGGTTTGTGTATTTTCGGTCTGCCGTAGAATCGAGGGAGTACTGGTCCATTGGATTTCATTCTCCATTGATCTTGTTTTGTTATTTCTCCTGCTTTGACTAGCTTGTTTAATGTCTTTGAGATTCTGTTGTCCAATTTCTTGACAGGATTTATATCTATCAGTTTGTATGTGTTCTTATCTTCAAGTAGTTGTTCGGCTTTTTTGAAGTATTCCTCCTTGTCCATAATTACTGTTGTGCGTCCTTTGTCCGCTGGAACTATGACAATATCTTTTCTAGTTCTAAGTTCCTTCAAGGCTTTTTGTTCTTGTGGGGTCAGTTGGTTGTTTTCCTTCACCTGTTGAGTTAGCGGTACTATAGTTTGCCTTATTTTTTGTTGTGTCTCCTCACTGAATCCAGAAGTTTTGAGTGATGACTCTAGTGCTGCGAAGAATTCTAGTTTTGAGGCGTCGCTTGTGTTGTAGTTTAATCCTTTTTGGAGTAAGTGTTCTTCCGTGTTTGTTAGTGGTTGTTTTGATAGATTGATCACGCAGTTGTTTGTGTTTTCTTCCTTGGGTGCTTTTGAGATCTTGGTTAGTTTTTTCTTTAGTGTGTTCCTTCTTTGTTCTCTGTGTCGTTTGCATGATATCTCGATGGCTGTTGTCAAGATTTCTAAATGTTCTGACGTGAGAGTCCTTTGTAGCTTCACCTTTTGTTCCTCTATGACGTGTTGGTATTTGTGGATTCTGTAGTGTGCATCTGTTATCATTAGGTGTACCATTTTTTTTCCACTTTGCTCAGCTATTTTCCATCCTAATGGGCAGTTGATTGGAGGTCTATATCTTACACTTGTTGGTAGAACGTGCTGGCGAAGACACTCATGGAGAAAGTATAGTTGTTCTCGAGTGGAAGCTTGCCTTTTGGCGAAATTCTCCCATTTTCGAACAACGAGAAGCGTATCACGCTCATATCCATATCCAATTCATATTAACTTTACTTATTTATTTGAACACATAAATATTGGTACAAAAAAGGACCGAATACATATGCACCACACAACTCACCTGATTTGTGTATGGGCTGTGATACTGCCTGGATGCCCAGACCGAAGCAGGTGATTTTCTTAGGGAGCCCCACAACAGGAGCCTTTGACATAGAGGTTCAATCCACAAGGTAGTGGAGCAATGTTAGGAGACGCGGTCCCATGGTA